AAATCACATTGGTACATGGCGGGATTCGAACCCAAGACCTGTAGATTACAAGTCAAGTGTTCAAACCACTGAGCCACCGACGCTCTTACAATTAAACAAACATTTACATAATAAATAACAATCATACTAATATTATAAATGGCTTGGTAGAGGTAGAAAGAGATGGATGTATTGCGTGAAAAGTGACATGATGAAGGGAGTGATGACTGAGATGACGTATGATAGAGTTATGTGGAGGATAAAAACCTGTTACGCCGCTACGGGAGTAGGATAAACAGGATGATGATTATAATAAATAAATAAATGCGAAAGTTTAGATGGATGTTTGTTAGAGTTAGCCTAAACGGCTGATTTCGATTAAATTCGGCATAAATGTACAGGATAGTCTGGAAGAATTCAGAGGGTGCTTACTTTTTTTTATTTCATGCGGACGGAGACGCTGGTGATAGCTAGTAAATTATAAGAAATCATAAAAATATTATGTATAACGACAAACCGGGGTGGAGCAGAACTGACTTTATTTGTTGTAAATAAAATTCAACTTTATACGAATACAACAAGATTTAAATTTACTTTGCACGTCTTTATAGAGAAAAAGAAAGTAAAAAAAGTGAAATTAAAAAAACCTTGTTTTAATTTTATAAAGTTCGTATTTATTAGCGATCGAAATCTACAAATACACTAAGAATTTACATTTAATGAGTATAGAAGACAGAAAAAGGACATTTCATTCATACTCATAAAATAATGATTTATATGAAACAGAAAAACTCAAAAACTACTGAAACGAATTGAAAAATTCTTTCACCATCAGATAGCTAAATGCTCACTGAGTGATACAAGCTATGATAATTCCTATTTTTTAATTCCGTATAGACATGGCGAGTAAAAATGTTCATACCTTTAATAATAACACTGAGCGTGGGATGCGTGTCTTGCTGTATCTGTTTCTGCCTGGGCCCCTCCGGGCGCAGTCTGAGCCGGCCCAGCGCGCGCTTGTGGGCCAGCTGCGCGCGGTACTGCGCGCGGTGCTCAGCTTCCTTGGCTGATATCACCTCCAGGTCTTCTGATTGCTTCTCCTTCATGCGCTGGTTGTGACGCCATCGCATCACCTCGTTGGCACGCTTCTATTAGCGTAAATATACGAAGATAATTGCTGCTGTTTTGTACACGCTATTCAAATATATATATACTTTAATAAAAACAAGAAACTACGAAATCTTATTATTATAAATGCGAAAGTTTAGATAGATGGATGGATGTTTGTAAGAGTTTGTAGCCTAAACGGATGAACGGATTTCGATGAAATTTGGTATAGATATAGAGGATAGTCTGGCAG